TGCTGTGAAAAATTGCAACAATTGTTGTAAAAGATTGCAACATTGCTGATACCTTTTGTCCAGCATGGCGTGCCATATTGGGCTGCATGTATAGTCAGGTTAGTTTTATTTATGTTAATGGTTTACTATGAAGTTAAATTACCTATATTTATAGTATTGGTCAAGACATAATGTCCCAAGAACCCCATCTATCTATGTAATCATTATTGTTAGTGTTCTTTTCCCTTTTTATATGGTTCTTTTTTATACTTTGTGCCTATTTCTTCTTCCCATCTAATGACTTCATTAGATCATTCTAATCATATTTTTCTTGGAAATTGATTTCTTTGCCTTTGCAGCTGATTATTTTGAAGTTTTACTTGGGATCTGGATTGTTCATTTCATTGAAGTAAGGTAGTGAGTGACTTGTGTTGTGGCAAGATTAGCAATCTTGCCACAATGAATTTTAAATAAAATTTTCTTATGTGTCTCATTCATCCATCCCATCGTGACAAGGTTTGACTATAGTAGCAATTATATAAATTTGATCATCAGTTGTTGGATAATATTCTTTGGATTTTCCTGTAGCTGCTTCTTTTGCATTTTTTTAGATTTGTTTGAATTGTCAATCACACCTTCTATTTCATCCAACAAAAATTAAATACTGGAATGCCGAATGCAAATGCAGGATACAAATGTCCTGATATGTAATCTGTAGCTTCCTTGAAATGGTACAAATAAGATAAATCAATTTTATAATATATTATTACTTCAAAAAAAAAAATTTATTTAGTTATTTACCAACCCGCATGAATTTAAGAATCTCCTTATGTTAATCCACTCATTACTTAAGAGTACATAAGTTTTAAGTTCTCTTTGTGATGATGCAATATTATGAAGTGCCTATATTTAAAGAATTTATAAATTAATTTTTTTATAAATAAGAATACAACCTTTTGCAATTCCAAATCTCTGCCCAACATTAATTCAGTCAAATTCCAACGAGTTTTAACATCTGGTACAATTCTAATGGTTTGATATTATTAACAGCAATGCATTTCTGCTCAAGAAGTTCACATCTTTGTAGTGATGCATGAATTTTAATTATTAATTTACAAAGCTAAATTAAAATTTAAGTTGATTTACATTGAAATTGAAATAATTTAACATAACCCCTCAATTACATTATTTGTGATAGCCTGATTGTTACACTCATGTAATTGAGATCAGAACAATTTTTTTATTATATACCAAAAAAAATAAATCCTTTAATATTAATTGGTCTGCCTAACTCACTCAAAACTTATTGTAAATTTAAGGTATGTCATAATAATAAAATAATAAAATGAGAATATGCTTTTTAAAGCACGGAAGTTTATTTTTTGTTACATAAAATGATAACAACAATAGATCTCATCAGCAGAATGTATAAAGGAAATTTTTCATACAAGAATGATAACATAAGTGTTATTATTCTTAATAATGACATTAAAAATGAAAATTGCGAGGATATTTCAAGAATTTATTTTGTCAATAGCCAAAATAAAGTTATTCAGATTCCCAATGGTATAGAAATTTGATTACTAATGCTAATACATCAGCTCTGCACAATGCTGAATATTTTGTCACCTGGATTTCAAACTATGTGATGAAGCTGTAAGGTTGGAAAACCAAAAACAACAAGCACTTGGGGGATCAAATAGCTTCGAACATGAGTCAATTCAACCACAGTCAATTTAGATAATTCTATCACATTGCTCAATTTTTATCTAAAATATCTCACCAAATTTTTGCTTAATTACCAGCATCTACCTTTTTAAGTGGAGTTCTAGCTTCCTTAATACTATTTTATACATGACATAATTTTCTTTAATTACAATTTCAAGAAAATATACATCAGAACTCATTCCATTTTTTCACCCTTCATCATAACCTCTATCCTCTATTAATAATTTCTTTTTCAAATGTAATTATATTTTTTTACTACATTATTATCAAAAGGAAATCCCTAAATGATATTTTACCAAATCTTCTTTGGATCTAGATATGTAACCTTCTCCATATTTTTCTGATGTATATACCTAGTGGGGAATTCAAGTTCGTTATATAATGCACCTATACTTAAATTGAACAGAAATATAAAATACACTTCAACTGTAGATTTCAAAATGCTTCTTTGTATTATAATTTTATTGTACAGACATTGATGTCCATCCACATATGATTGAGAGCACAAATTCTTGATCACTGATCATGCATATATATATAGTGTATATAGTGGCATGCAAAAACTGTGAAAATCAATGTAAGATCTCTTCCTGGTTGGCATTAATTGCACTATTGGAGGAGGCATCAGTTGCTTTGTCAAATAATTGGGCTAAAGTAAGCAATGAGGCCAAAGAAGAATTTTAATGCACCACATGTTGCCATTTTGAATGAAGCTAATGCTATTATGTGTCAACAAAAATTGTGGTGCAAAATTAGATTACAACTTTTGCTTTATTATCAAACATTAACATATCAACTACACAAATCATGATGAGAAAATATGTTGCACTTTTTTTTTTAGAGATGTTATACACTGTAATAGAAATTCTACATGTTGTGAAGGGTGTGGTTTTCATTGGAAAGTGAAAATATGTGTATTTTGTACCAAATGTGTAAACCTATTTTATCCATAAATTGTGTACAAAACATCTCATATGAATCAACATTATCAAAGACTTTGACACTTTCATATAGACAGTCAACAAAATGCATAAAGCTTATAAAGTGAAATAATCTAGGATTATTATGTATAAAAAATCTGTGCAGACTTTAATTTTTTATGCTTTTTATGATGAAAAAAATAATCTGTCAAGTGCCTACATTCATTTGGTGGCAAAATAGCATTATAAAAAGGTGTAAAAAAGTCATATTTACCCTAATATATTCAAATGATCTAAAAAAATTTATTATAAATTATATAAAGGCACAAAAATATCTATCAGAGGATTAATCAGTTCACAATTCCAAATAATAGATAAGAAGTACCTAGCTGTGGATGTGTAGTCAAGCCATTATTATTGTTGCAGTTATTGCTATGCTATTACCGTAAATTCTGGAAAGATAGCATCCCCTTTTTACATATGTGTAACATTTTTTTTATATTGACGCTCAATTGTTTTAAAGTAGGGGGTGCTATCTTTCCAGACTTTACGGTATTATTATTATATTACAGAATGACGATGAGTCAAGTCAGTTTCGTTGTTAAATTGTGAATAAATGAGGAAAGTCATTTTTATTTTTTAAATATCATCATTTATGATTAATCATTACTACAATTATTTTTGTTATTGTTTGTTGTATAAATGCTATATACAAATTATTGGGATTACATTTTTTTTCATTGCGTAGAAAATGGTTTTATTTTATTTATGCAAATAATAATCTAAAATCTTTTCTTCTAGATTTAATAACTCTTTGGTCTATATTAGAATATCGACTGATTCACTTAATTCGGATAAATCAACTCCCAAGGTTTCTTCTTCTTCACCAATTCTCAAAGCCAATCCAGGAATTCTATCCATAATTAATAATATTAAACAGGTCATCACAAAGCTATAAACAGATGTTGACAGTACAACGTATAACTGATATAACAATTGTATGAAGTTACCATCTAACCAACCACCATTTATTACAGTGAAACCGTCTAAAAAAGCAATATCTTTTTGTGCAAATATACCGGTCAGTAAGCTACCTAAAATACCACCTATACCATGTATTGCAAAAACATCCAAAGAGTCATCATAGTTAAATACGGCTTTCAATTTAATAGCAAAGTTACAAATTATTCCTGGTAAAAACCCAAACATCAACGATGATGGTATGCTAATAAACCCAGCGGCAGGTGTAATACACACCAATCCTGCCAACACACCTGAACAAAATCCAACTACAGACAATTTATGATCTAATCTGTAATCTAACAACATCCATGTTAAACCACCCATTGATGCTGCTAGATTTGTCGCGGTACATACTGAAGCTGTTCTCAAATTAATTGATAATACACTTCCACCATTAAAACCAAACCAACCAAACCAAAGCAGTGCAGTGCCTAGAACGACATTCATGATATTATGAGGTCTAAAATTCCCGGCACCAAGATCACGTCTTCGGCCTAATATTAATGAATAAGCTAGAGCAGAAGCACCTGATGAAATATGTATTGGTGCCCCACCAGCAAAATCCAGTCCCTTTAATTGTGCAATCCACCCATTCGCCGACCAACACCAATATGCAATAAAATCATAAACCAAAGTTGTCCATATCACAAAGAATATTAATGTCGGTATGATCCTAGCTCTTTCTGCTGATCCGCCTATTATCAAAGCTGGTGGAAAAATCGCAAACATACATTGAAATATGGAATGGACCAACGGAGGAACTGTTCTAGTTTCATAAGGTTCGGTAACAACACCTCTTAAAAATACAAAATCAAAATTACCAATAAATGGGCCACCTGTTGGACTATAAGTTAAACTATACCCTATTATGAACCACTACATATTTAAAAGAGAATTAAAAATTACGCGAAAAATTGAAATTCATGATAATCTACTAATAGTAATTATCACCTGAAGTGAAACAATAGGGACCGCCAAAAAACTCATAAATACAAGTGATAGAGCATTTTTTCTTCTTGCCAGACCACTATAAAAAAACCCAAGACCTGGTATCATCAACCATACTAATACTGTAGACAATAACACCCATACAATATTTATCTTCATAGGTAGATACCATTCTGTTTCATGTATTATTTGTGATATTTCTGATGGTGATGGTGACGTTGACATATTATTATTATTGTTTATCGAATTATTATCGTTTATTATTATTATTAATTGTTAATTATAATTGTCATTAAAGAGAGAGAATTTGAGGAATTGAAGAATTTTTTGACCTCAATACAACGTAAATTTATATATACACACGCAAACAAAACTTTTATCTTGGAAAAATGACATTCTCTTTTAATTGTTCTATTTGTAATATTTACAAGAAAAAAGAATTTGAGATTTTTGACTACCATAAAGTCTGGAAAGATAGCACCTTTTTTACAACTGTGTAACAGTTTTTTCAATTGTTTTAAAGTAGGAGGTGCTATACGATTATTTTTTTTTATTTTCTTATCAGAATCTATATTATAAACAATATTAATTTAGAAATTAATTTTTTTTTGTGCAATATTAATAATACGCCAAACTTTAAACCTTGATATGATTGTTACAAGTCTTGGCAGAAGATCAGTTGTGTAAGCAATACTGTTTTTGTTTTTTTCTTTATTTAACCATCTCGTGATACATTATCTACTGCTAGCGTGCTACCGAGGTTGTCCAATAAAATCAGTAAAATCAATAAAATCAATAAAATATATAAATACCAATAATCCTTATCTCTACTCTGATAGCGCTTCTTTCCCTTACCAAGTCGGGAGTACTCGCAAAAAAAAAAAATAAAAAAAAATATACAAGAAATATTTATTACTATACTACTTGAGACGTATAAGCAACCTATTAATTAAAAGGGGTGGGTCCCTAACTAATCATTAAAGGTTACGAAACGGTCACAATGGCCTTGCCTCTTTAACTATGCAACCATTCGTAAATAAGAGATAATAATTTAAAATGTGTTTATGTTATTATTTATTATTAATTAATTAATACAAAGTAATATGTTTGAAAAGTTATTCATCTGAAAGTCATTTATTTTAGAGTTGTATTTTTAACTTTAGTGAATTCAAGATGTTTAAATACTTCTTGATGTTTCACAAAATTATAAAGTAAAAATACTTTGTGAATTTGAATTTTAAATATCTAAACCAAAATTTTTAATTATAAAGATATAAGAATTCTTTATTTGTAAATAAAATCGTTAATAAGAAACTCCGAATTTTAACTCGTGAGACAAATGTCAAATTTAGATTGAATGTCTTATATATTTTTATGTCCTCAATGACCTTCATATAGAAAAATGGAGACCAAAAGTTCGAATTAAGTAAGTCTGTGGTTGCTTTCACACTTTCTTTTTTTTATCTTTCTTAACAAACTTTTTGGAATCTCGGTTCATTTTTCTTGGCATCAGGAATATTAACATATGCACCCTCCCTCTTGGAATCTTGTTGTGATATGAATTTGAAACTCTGGAAGCTTTCTTGTTCAATATCAATCATTTTGTCGAAGGAAATATAAATTTGAAACCTTTTTTGGTTTAAAGTTTTTTCTTGCTAACATTCTTGGAGCTTCTCCAAATTGTATTCAAAATTCTTCATCCGCTTGGTTAATATCATCGTTAGATAGGAATTTCTTGCTGGTGATAACTATTCTTCTTTGTTAGCTTGTAAGTCTTCTTCTACCTCTTCATATTCTTTGGGCGTGGGCATTAAACATTGGTGTTTATAATCATGTATTTTTCCGCAAAAATATCCGCAATCGCCAAATCAATTACTAAATAAGGATAACACGCACCCAACCCACCAATAAAATTGGATATTTTCATGATGCTGCGCAAATTTGCGATATTTTTGCGGAAAAATACATGATTTTTTGGTGTTTTACCCAATGATTACCATAATTCTTTTTATATTTAGAGATAATGTGTAAACAGCAATGAAAAATCTCAATTGTATCTTTAATAGCTGAGGCCATTTGTAATTGGCCATTTGTAATATGTCAACTTTTTGAGTATGAGTTGTCAATCTATCCGTAATCCTGTAATTCTGTAATATGTAAATGTTGTAATTTTGTAATTCTGCAAATGTAAAATTAAAAAAAAAAAAAAGTTTAGTATTACATGTTGGGAAGATACAGTAGATCACATGTTAGGAATACATGTTGATAAATTCATTTCGTTTTATCAATTTGTTAATTATTAATTTTTTAGAAGGATTAACATGAAAAATTGTTATAAATAAGGTTACTTCTTGACCAAGTGAATGAATGAACCAACTGATTAAATAATTTTGTGTTAATATTTCAGGTCTTGTTCATAAAGGTAGTGACAGAAAGTTGATATACATAAAATTATTTCTTTTACAAATAATTTGTTTTGTAATAATAAACACTTTTGTGGTGGAAATTAAACAGTAGAATTAAATTGTCTGTTTGGTTATAGAGTGATATAGGCTATGAGGTTTTGTGATTTATTTGCTTTGGTATAAAACAAAGCTTTTGGTTATTTGCTTTAGTAAGGAAGGCAAAATTTTGATTTTTGTTTTGCTTAACTCTTTGTAAACAGATAGGTCTAATTGTTTAAGTGCAAACATAAGGTGTCAAGACTGATTGGCAAAAGTGTTGAGTGTTAACAGTTATTACTGATCAATCACATCTGTAAAGAGCCAACATTTATCATTATCACATTGTGTTAAAGTAACAGTTTAAACATTCAGCCGACATTTAATCAGCCGACCAAAGAAATGTAAAAATTAAAGTAAATAAAATGGAACTCTATAGGAACCTTTGTTGCTTTTATTATTATTATTTGTACTGTAAATTGTTGGGCGCTTGACATCAGTTGATCAACAAATCTAATTAATATTGATATCAATAAGGTATCTCTTTTTTCTAAATGAACCAGTGTAATGAGAACTTATAATACAGAATGGTTTAGTTGGCCATTCTAAATTTTTGGCCACATGTCTGGGATATTTATTATAGTCTAGGAACACCCAGCCATTCCAGCTGATTTTAAATGTGGTCTGCTTTTTTAGCCACATGTGAACTATTATATATTAACCACATATCAATGTTGCCCATTCAAAATTTTTTGGCCACATGTGAACTATCATATATTGGTCACATATCAATGTGGCTCATTTCAAATTTTTGGCCACATTCGAACTTTTATATATCTATTATTCTGGAACTGGATGCAAAGCATCCTAGCTTTATTGATGCAATTTTTCATAAAATAGAATATTTCATAACCAAATTGGGCATTGATCAAGCAGTTAATAAATTAATACAAAATATATAAATAGACCCGCTATTCCCAAAAAAAAAAAACATACATCAATTTCACTTTTTATGTTCCATTCAAATTAAGGATGAGGCACAAAGTGCTGAAATAATATTTGTGATCTGGTTTTGCATTATACCTTGTGTACTACCAAAAGTATGCTATGTTTTGGATCTCTAGAAAACTTTCTTGCATAGTAATAGTTGATGCTTTTGGGTACTACCAAATCAAAAAATTTGTTTACCAACAGTAATACATCAAAGTATAATATTTTTATATATCTTTACCTTGGGTTACTATTAAAAGTATACTATGTTTTGCGACCATGTATCACTTTCTTGCATAGTTGGTGCTTTCAGGTACTACCAGGATCCCGCAAACTTCATAGATAGTTAGCAACAAAAATTCTTGTTTGCTATATGATTTGATCCAGGTCAAAATTAAGTTTAATATATAATTTGACTCTAAAGTTTGCAATAACATTAGAAAAAAGAACCCATAAATATATACTAACATTAAAAATTTTGAAACCGTCTACTGTAACAAAAATAAATTTTACCAATCAATTGATTTAACTGATTTATAAGATTTACTATGTATAAAAATATCGGTTTTGAATGAGCACGTAAGAAAGAATAATTTGACGCGCAGATTGACCCTAACACTAAATTAATTGATCCTATTAGTGATTAAATTTGTAAAATTTTTAATTCATAAATAATTTGTCCCTATTAGAATCACTGACAAAAAATTTAAATTTATATATGAATTTACCCGGCTGCGGCAGTAACCTATCTATGAAGTTTGCGGGGTCCTGTAATACCACTTCATGTCAAAAAATTGACCTATGTTTTGGCGTGCTACCTTTAATTTGTTTGCACTTTGACGCACTTACCTTTACGTACTACTGAATTAAAAAATACATGTTAAAGAGATATAACTGACTCAATAATAACAAATCTATTAAATATAAAAATGGTTTTTGCTGAAAATAACTTTGACCCACTATTTAAAGATGATTTTAAAAATTTGTTAAACATTAGCAGAAAGAGTTGGGTATAATATAGTTTGTTGTATCAGGAAACAAAGAAATGCGGAATGCGAGGCAATTAATGCTCATTGTATTTCGGCAATTATAAGATAATTTTTGTCACGCAGCTCTATTAAAATTTAATATATTTATTATTACGTATCATAACATTATTTTTCAAAAGTATAAAATTTACATTATTTAATTTTTACACATAAGAATATACATTTTAAATATATCAGCCTATTGATCAAAAACTTTTCCCATCGCCTGAACTCGAGGGCCATCTGTGGTATAATCAAAGTGATATGTAGGTTCATCTTTAACGTTATTAAAACATGCAATGTGAGTTTGTCCATCGTTGGGGACAACTAGGGTCCCGATTGTTAAATCTACTATAATTGGCCGATTTTTTCTTAGCCTGATCCTGGTTGGAGAACCCGACACAGTTAATGAAGTATAATGATTGCAAAACGTCCCAGTTGTCGTTAGCATGTCTTGTCCTCTATAGGTTGTGGTGAAATCGAGCGTGTAAGTGAATAATTCTGCTCCCATCACGACGATTGGAGAGAGGAAAAGAACAATAATGTAGACCAATTTGAAAGAAGAAGCAAATTTTTTCATTGCTTAACGTAAAATGAAAAGAGAATAACAAAGGTTATAACAATAAGACTTTTGAATTATTATTATTATTATATTTTTTTTACGGATGCTAATGAGAGGTTTTTTATAGTCGTAGTAGTTAGAGTTTCTGTTCGTAATACAAATTCTTATTCGAATTATTCGTAATACCAAAAAATTCTATTCGAATATTCGAATTATTAATTGTCCGTTTTAGTTTTATTCATTTTATCCGTTTTATTCGTTTTGCATACTAATACTAATACTCAAAAGTTAAAATTTTTGAAATATTATGTGATCCACACGTTGGATTTTTAAAAATCTACAACTATTCAATTCAGCTATAAAAAAGGAGTCAATTCATATAAAAAAATTTGCCTCGAATTTTCTTTTCATAGAGTTTTTAAATTTGAGAGTTATTGCTTATAATAATTTTCATTTTACAAGATTTTGAATCGCGTGTCCAAATTTGGTAATGATTTTTTTTCATTATCGCCGATCCACAAATCAGAAAAATCATTTTAACTTTATTCATGCATAACAAAAAGAAGAGTATATTCAATTTTTTGTATAAAGGTTGACAAAAATGTTCTCATTATTCACGTATCATCAATTAATGAATAAAAATTTATCATCATTATTAAATTCTTTCTTTGTATATTATTAATATTATTATTGATATTTAATAAATTTTTATTTAATATCATTATTTATTGAAAAGTAAAAAAAACAATAAATATAAATTTCATATTGTGTTTCTCGGAGTTTGATCATTTTGCTCTCACACTTTCCAAAAATTCAGTTTACCAAAAGTTCATGGATAAACCTTTACAATATGCAATATGCAATTTTCAAGTAATCAAATAGCAATTTGCAATTGCATTATTTATTTATTGAAAAACTGTAGGTTAGTGTGATTTTTGACAAAATAAGACTTGGACAAAAAATATTTTTTCACGCCTTTATTAACAATTGTTAATTATTAATAATCTAGGAAAAAAAATTCATCAATGGTTTTTTTAATTGGCAATGATTATGTTTTTTCAAAATTTTTGATGGTGATCATTTGCATATTGCATAGTTTATAAAATGGACTTTCTTTTTTTGAAAAACTGTAGGTTAGTGCGTTTGACAAAAATAAATCAAAAAATATGCAAGATTAATATAAATATTTGTCAAATATTTGTATTGGACAAAAAATGTTCTATTCAGAATTTTTTTTCACGCTTTTATTAAATAATTGTTAACGAAATGAACACTCTAACACTAGATAATAGTCAACTATAAAATTCCTAAAATTCATAATTAAAAAAATTATTCCTTACATTATACATCAAGTAATCCTATTGAATTTATATTTGATTTCCTACGTTGGGCGTTACTCTAACAAAATAAAGAAATGACAATAATAAAAGGCAAAGATACATTCTTCAAATTTAACTTTTGCCTTTATTCTTGAATACCCTCTGTATTAATTAATTAAAGTTTTTATGCAGTTGATGCTAGCGAGTGAAAAAAACCCATTATAAATAACCTAAATAGGAGTCTTTATAAATCGAAATGGGTAAGCAGAAATTCAGATGTTTCCTGTATTAGTGTATGTCTTATACCTCCCTGTGCTTGATCGACCCATCTTTTGAAGGAACTATCTAAGTGTAAAAAGAAAACTTTGTTATTATTTGCAGTTTGAAAATTTAAAGCGCAATGTTAAATAAATCCAGTAAATCCAGTCGAAGGGGGTGATTCAAAGTGGGGTTAAATGCTCTTATAGATCCGGCTGGTTTCACACCCAAATATTTTATTACAAGTAAAATTAAAGTGATTGAAAAATTAAATACAAAATTAAATTAATTAAAATAATAAAACTTATTGCTTATTTTTTTTTTTTTTTTTGAAGAAATGGCATGACTATTATTACCAGCGAATTTTGTGTGTCTTATTAGAACACTGGATATGCCATACTTTTGGTACATAGTTTAATATAATAATAAAAAATCACAAATATTCCACAAAAAAATACAAACCAATAAATTTCAAGGTGGACTCACTTGGTATTGAGGTCACAGGACTTTTCACGCAGATCAATATAGAGTTGTAAATTTTTGATGCAATCAAATGACTTCTAACCCCCATTTAATACACTTGCCACGTCAAATTTGAGATATGACTTCTTTATCATATGTATCTGCTTTAAAAAATTTTTAAAGCAGGTTGTTAATAAAACCAAAAATAATCTGACCCTCAAAGTCATAATCATGTATTTTTCCATAAAAAACATATGCAAATTTACGCAGCATCATGAAAATATCCAATTTTATTGGTGGTTGGGTGCATGTTATCCTTATTTAAAAATTGATTTGCGGATGATTTTTGCAGAAAAATTATCTCAAAGTCAAATTTTGCCTTTATATTGTTACTGGAATTGGATTCTGACGAAGATATTTTGGAATCTCATAATTCTGGGTCAAATTAATTCTTATTTCTATTTATTTATTACGTTTATACCTGTGTTACGTTTTGTATAATCATTTTATTATTATTCTTATTAATTAATCCATAGCACGTTAATATTTATTTAATTTATTTAACTATATTTAGTAGAAATTAGTGACAATGCGCCCATATGGGCTCATGAGCCCAAATGGGCTTATAATTAATCAATATGTATATAAAGAACTCGAATTTGACCTACTGTAAAAGTAACTTTGTCATAATTTAATTAGTTTCGACTAAGAAAACTAAATAAATAAAATAAATATTTTATTTAAACTATTTATTATCTTCTTTAAACAAAATTATTCGCTAATAACAAAATCAATTTGTTGATCCCCTATTCATTCTGATTCATGCAAAAATAAAAATAATTGTATTAAAATACACTCTCCCAAATTTAATTGGTGACAATATTCATATATGTAAAATATTGTTTGACACATCCATTCCAAGTATAGGTAAAAATAAATGTCCAAATATTACATTATTATGAATATTTGCAAATTTTTGATCACTTAAGTATGTCTTTTTAGTAAAACATTTATTTTAAAAGTAAATATGATAAATAAATAGATATTAAAATTTTTCTTTACCTACAGTATACATAGTGAATCTCAATTTAGCTGATACTAATTAAAAATCTTAGTTTTATGGATAAAGTTCAAAGAATGGTTCATAATAAAAACCTTCTCAATATAGTGGACATCTCAGTTTAATGAAATTTCCCTAATTGCCCAGACTATCTGCTAAATCAAGATTCACTGTGTATACACAAATAATGATTAGAATAATAAACAAGCAACAATAATGATTAAATTAAAAGATGTTTTATCTCTGACTTTATTCATTTAATTATTTATCATAGTGATGTTATTAAATATAAGTTAAAATAAAAGAGAAATTTATATACATAAATAAATAATAATATAACTATTGAATGATTGATAAAACATTCATTAGTATATTTTGCAAGTTTCATAGATCTTGTCCTTAATGCTTACTTCAATCACTCCTATACAAACTATTGAATAATTGGTAAAACATTCATTAATATGTTTTGTTCATAGAACTTGTCCTTAACACTTACTTCAAATTCCTATACAAACTGGATCATATCTTTATTATCATCCTCAAAAAAAAGATGTATTCATTGTCATCATTTGTTACTTGTTGCTACTAATATTATTGTTTAATGTTGCTATAACAACTACTGATTGATGGATATTCATAATAATCATTAATGAAACTTTAATCAATGTAAAATCAGAAATATAAAACAATCACTAATAAAATTACCTTTCAGTTTTTGCTGAATCCCATCATAAAATTCTAATGACTATTAAATTTCTATAAAATAGTTTTTCATAAACCTCTCTAAAACTTATTAACCAATACCCCAATAAAGTAATGACCATATGAAGGCTTAAAGTATTTTACACCTTCCCATTTACTATCAAATCTTTTAAAGTGATATTGAGAAATAATCTGAGCTTTGAAGTGAAAAAGTAATACCATTTTGAATAGCCATGAATTCATGTAGATAAGAGCTTGCAGTATGAAAAAAGTATTCATTAGAAAGCTTTAATGGAGTACTTTCATTTTACTCTAACAATGAAGTTCAAATAATTTAAAAAAATTTCATGTGATACAAATTTCAAATTTATTCTCACATATAGAAAATCAATTGACGTGACATTATGGTTGCTTGCCAAAACTCCTCTGGAAATCAATCAGCAGAGTTTCGGCAGGTAACACACTAATTGTTTGTTAAAGTTTTTGCAGAGTTTTGCATTTAGGGATTTTGACAATTAGCAGAGTTTTGGCAGGTTACACACTAATTGTTTATTAGAGTTTTGGCAGAGTTTTGACAGTCATTAAGAGGTTTTGGCAAGCAACCTTATGTGACATGTCACTTTATTCAATTGTTTTTGATGATCCACAAGTTTTCTATATTTTTGTCCAACAAAACCTTTTATAGGTTGTGTGGGTTTAATGCCATAATAATAAAAATTCAATGTATATTTTGAGAAAAATGTAAATATATACATGTGCAAAGATATGATGTTTATAAATTTTTTGCAAAAATCCTTTTATATCAGCTGAATTGGTTTTTAGATCCATTTTTCAAACTTTATATTAATATCTTGTTGTGTCTCAATGTTAAACACAGGTATTTTTAATGTGTAAACTGGTCAGTAGAGTGATAATTAACCCTTAAAAATTTTTATTTGCTCTACCAAAAAAACTATTTGACTATTCAACAGCCCATCAACTCCAATGACTCAGCCTCAAAGCCAATGGTTTTTGTTAGTAAAGTATTCATAATGTTATGATCATACTGTATTGAATTTTGATGCTCAAAAAAAAATCAACATATATGTATGGGTTGTGTGAGTTTAATGTCCCAAATCATTTTTATTTTTATTTTTAGTAAATAACAA